CATCGTACACTGGTTGCCCAGGAAACCAAACAACAACACGGGATCGAATCCCTTATATGTGACCAAGTCCTGATCTGAACCCAATGGATGTGTAGGATGAGATTAGTAAGCAAAGTACCCCTTGGAATAACTTGCCAATGCAGGGTTTGAGAAAAGTCGTGTTTTCCATGAAGAAGAGATGTCGGTAAGTGATTTCTACGTTATGCAAACTACTAATGTTTGTGACACACCAGTGGAAAGTCTCTATACCTCCTTAGCTACCAGATAAACATTATCAAATGATAGGTGGTCATTTTCACCCACATTTCAATGTGATGATTTTTGCTTGTTTAACCTTTCATTCTTAAATATAGAACCTTGCCACATTCACTGGCAACTCGTTTTGCGTTATCTATTGGAAGAGAATATGTATTCTTAATGTATTTAATTGCTATCACACTTTAGTTTTCAACAAGTTGACAAAAATATGGGTGTGGCTGAACTTTATACCTTCAGTATATTTCACATTTGTTTTAATCTGAAAAGATTTACAAACAACTATTGTATATTATTTCCTCTTTTTGGTCTTCGAGAGAGTTTTTAAACCGGCAAGACCATGTTTGATAACAGGGGCGTAGCTACTATTATAAAATAACCCCGGGCATACACATTGTTATTGCTAAAAAAGTTGCCCTCGATACTATCTAAATATAAAGCTTCGCAACCTATCAGGCTTACACGAAAAATTGGCTTGCTACGCGTCTGGATAAGACCTCTTTTCTTTCCCTCTGTTTTCTGTGTCTCTCGTTTTAAAATGAAGTTGTAGTAGTCTCCTTTTCTTTTCATGGTCACAGTTCGTTTAATGTTTCCAATCCAGTCTTATTCGAACTGAATGAAACAATCTAACACTCGGGTATTTCTACTATGTATTTTTTAACACCTTCGTCATCTTATTCTTCTTCCCTCCGGCATTGTCAGATTGACTTCCCAATTCCCACAACATGTTGACCACAAGCTGCTTAGAGCCACCATATAGCACATAGCTCGCGGATGGATTTGATCTGTCTGATGGATCTTTTAGCTGGGCATTGGTGTTGATCAACGGGATGGATTGATTGGCTTAACTCATAGCTCGATGGTGGATCGGATGCAATTGATCAGGACTCTGGAGTAGGGCCTGTCAGCCTTGCGCTACTTCCGGTACTAAGCAGGTTCCCTGCTCCCCATGCGCGCGGCAACTTGTATGTGCTCCCAGCTTACTTCCGGTACCAGATTTCCGGTGACAAGCGTATATTCCAAAAACAGTCAATCAAAAAAACTATTTTCATTGCGTCAAATACCTACAGTAAATCTTTTCACATGGAGTGATTGGCCATATTTGGACTTGACCTTTTCAGACATGATTCACACAGTTTCCTGTTTTTGAAGTGGTCCATGAATCTAAGATTGTGGTGTTAATGAACGACACGAGAAGACAGTTATTGCGATGTCCCCTGGTCTGACGGAGGGCACTTCGATAGGCCTTAGTACCTCCGGTGACAAGCAGCCTCGTTCATACCTTTTCGGTTGATCTCATGGCTGTCACTTGACAGTAAGGAACCGATATTCCCCGCAGGACTAACCAAACTTCGATCTAACCATCCCCAAATTAGCCAAATATTACGACTGTCAACAGCTGTGACAGCCAAGCATAGTTGTACACTTGGTCCGGTCTAGTAAAGTAATATTTGGCGGTCGCGCAATTTAGAACCAGAACTGGTGTTTGAATATACGCTTGTCACCACACTCCGGCGCAGTGATGACTTAGTATAACATCACTGCCACAGGCTAATTTGCATATCACGTGACCGGACTTTTCTCTTGTTTGTAAACAAACGCGCATATTCGTAAATAAGAAGAGACTGGCCCAACGCAAGCGATTCGGCGCGGTCTTCGTAATGTTTTACATTGTTACATATATATTCTTCTATAACTGCGACAGTAAGGTTTATGAAAATACATATTTTTTTATCAAAGGGGTTTCATCGTTTGCTCTCCATAAGGCTTCGTTGGCACCACGTGGTGCCGTACAACCCATGTAAACAAAGGATCGCTACGCAAATCGAAATACATTATAGTGTTACACTTTTTAGAACATTTGCTCGGTGAAACTAAACCATTCTAACAATGATGTTTTATAATTAGCTGTGTAGACTCATCAAAACTAAAAGAGTTACGAAATATGTACATTATTTTGAATGGACTGTGTCAGATGTGTGGACGATTCCTCACATCTTTCTGGCCTGTGGCAGAGGTATGCTGGCTGGCCGCATGGAACTCTGGGTAGGAGAGTGGCTTGTCACCGGAAATCTGGTACCGGAAGTAAGCTGGGCCCTGTCTCCCATATCGCAAGTGGCCTCAGACCACAGTTACCCCCCTTAACTTTTACATGACCCGGAAGGAAAATAGGAGAATGTAGAGCCTTGTTTAAATGGGTTGTTCTGTGTGTGTTGCTATTTTTCAGGGTGACTTGTGATAGCTTAAATGAAAGGTAAGACATTGTACTTTATTGCAAAATTTGTTTGGTCCAAAATCTACACATGGCATTGACACCAGCCTTCCATGATTCAAAGCTGTCTTGTGTGTTTCGGCTCGTAACTTCTGGTGACCATTGTTTACAGTGGATACAGCAAAATTGACATAGTCGATCCAGGCCCATATTTTGCCGGTTTAGGGACAAGTGGCAGGTTGGTCAGCATGCAACAGGAGAACAGCCTACGACCGATATTAATTATGGTGGACTGGCATGTCACCGTAGATAGCAAAGAAGGAAAATAATTGTGGTCTGAGGCCAAGTTGGCGCGCTCAAAAGGAGTCGGGAACCAGCTTAGTACCGAAGTAGCGTCTCGCGAGACTTACAGGCCCTATAGCTGGAATTCAACTTGCACGAACTTGGTAAACGTGACACGTCAATTAATGCGACATCCTGGTATGCTTGCATTTTAACTGAGGAAGAAATCTGAAAAATACACACGCATCAAATTTTGACCTGACCGTAAAACCTGAAGACATAGCCTTTCTCTTTTGTCACAGAATCAGAAAATCTTAACGACTTCTCTCTTAATGCTCACAGAGCATATCTCAGACAAGTGGCATTAACATCATTCGGATTTTTAAACATACAAAGGATCACATTGAATTTATACAAGCCAAGGAAAGAACCAAGTTCAGTTATGTGAAAACATTATATTTCTTAAACATATACACGTTTCGTTGCTACACGACAGAGGGGAAAACTTCATTTATGGGTCAATGGGGTACACGTTACTACTACACGTTGAGAACACAGCTACATCACAGCAAAGGCGTAGAAATCGGGGGTCAGTTTTGACTTGAACACACTTTCAGTTCAGCGTTAGAGCTGTTGCGGACCTAGTCTTCAATGGACAGAAGTGTCTAATTGGCGTTGAGGGCGTTTCTGGAACACATACGAGTGGTACTGTAACTTTCTTGTAATACACCCTAAGTACACCCTAACTACATCATCCGCTGACTCAAAAGAGAAAGATGATGCGTATCTCGATACTGATGCGGGTCTTGGAAACACTAAAAACTTGAGAGTACTCAACTGTTTTGCACGTGTATGCCTTGCCTAATGTCCTCAATAGTCCCTTTCAGTAATCTTTCTGCAGGTTCAGAATGTTGCTGGGGCGGTGGGCTAGCATGTTGGTTAAAGCGTCCACTCGTCAAGCCGAAGACCCGGGTTCGAATCACCACATGGGCACAGTGTGTGAAGCCCATTTCTGGTGTCCCCCACCTTGATATTGAAGGAATATTGCTAAAAGCGGCGTAAAACCATACTCACTCACTCACTCACTATCTGTAGATCTGTCCTTAGCCAGGTGACACGCCCACGAGACAATGTTGATATTGGGTATGACTTGAAGCGGGTCTGCAGGTACGTATGTCATTACCATTAATTACATTCGAGATTACTTGACTCCTTTGTCTCTTGCCATACTTGAAATATATAATACTATATGCATCTGCCGTTTTACAAAAGTCAGTTACCATTGAAGATCCGGGTTAGAATTGATCTTCAGCAACCCATGCTTGTCGTAAGAGGCGACTAATGGCGTCAGGGGTCAGACCCGCTGACTTGGTTGACACATGTCATCGTATCCCAATGCTCATGCTGTTGATCCCTGGATTGTCTGGTCTAAACTTGATTATTTACAGATCCCAGACATATAGCTGGAATATTGCTGAGTGCAGCGTTAAACAACAAACAAACAAGATAAACCATCGGGTAGATGCGATCAAACAAACAAGATAAACCATCGGGTAGATGCGATCAAACAAACAAGATAAACCATCGGGTAGATGCGATCAAACAAACAAGATAAACCATCGGGTAGATGCGATCAAACAAACAAGATAAACCATCGGGTAGATGCGATCAAACAAACAAGATAAACCATCGGGTAGATGCGATCAAACAAACAAGATAAACCATCGGGTAGATGCGATCAAACAAACAAGATAAACCATCGGGTAGATGCGATCAATTATGTCATATTCGATCCATTACTATTACGACTGTTTGGCAATTGCACCGATTGAAATGACAAGCCCGACAAGACCTACCTTTGGCTGATTGCCAGCCCTTGACTATGAACATTTCAGAGCCACAGAACTATGTACTTGGATTATGCATCAAAGCTGTAGGCATCTAAGACGTGTTCCACATTGGGAGGTTCTCCAACAACCAGATGCAGTGAGAAGCCATCCCATACGAGGAAATAACAGAAAACAATTAGGATTCAGATTTATTTTTCTGAAATACAATGATATACACATAGTAACGTCAAATACACCCAGTATCAGAATGCTTATAGTTTAGTTTGGACATCAATGATAACATGAAAGAAAAGCGACAAAACACTTTCCATATTTACTTTCATAAAAATGTCATAAATTTCAAGCACAGCAATAAGTACTTTGAGACCATTCAACTGTTCATGACACCTATGATGAGAATTTTAGTTGAACGTCATGGACCTCCTCAGTCTACAGCTTAATCTCTTCAGTGCGGCAGTTGGTGAGGTCATTCGCCGACTTTTTTCGGAAAAGTAGGATTTTGTTTGGCTCACAATCAGCTGAAATATTTCTAAAATGTTTTCGTTGTCTTTGGCAGAGGCTTCCATATATCGGTGATTCCAACCATTAGTGACCATACAGTAAGCTTTATCTTTGGAAATGAAGCGATCAGATGTCGTCAGATCAGACTTGTTTCCCACAACAAGGATTGGAACTCCGTCGGATTTCTCTTGGACAATCAAATCTCTCATTTTAGCCATGTTCTCAAAGGATGACTCGTCTCCAACAGAATACACCAAAACAAAGGCTTCGGCGTTGGCTATGGCCAGTCTCCTTACGTTGGCGAAACAGTAGGCCCCGGGGGTGTCGAAGATGTCGAGCACAACGTGGGATCCGTTCACGTCTATGTCTCTGATGTAACGTTCCTGGATCGTGGCCGCGTAGCCCCGGGGGAACTTTCCAAGGACGAACTGGCTTACGATGGCGCTCTTACCTACAGCTGATGCACCCATTACAGCAATTCTGAACGAGCTCTCAGATCCAGAAGTTGAGGAGTTGAATGAAGGTGTCGGCAAAGACATGTTGATGCGGGGAGAAACTGTGAACGCTGGGATATGGCTGTGAAAACCACTCTTCAGGCCTATGGACGAATTCGACTCAATCGTGTTTTTGTTTTCACCTTTTATATACACCGGCGAGAATTAATTTACAAGAATAACTCAGCTGACGTCAAAGACCTATGAATAAACCTGTTTCTTGTTTGTTTAAGAAAATGGAAAGTACAAATGATATAACCTTTTACAGTAGCTTTTTCTATTACTGTAAAAATTCTTTCTTTCTTTTTTTTCAAAATACAATCCACAATATTCATCAGCATCTGCCTGTTGATTTAGTGAGTTGAGGTTAAACCCCTCTATTACATGTTAACAATGTAATAAACTTGCAACTAGGGAACTACTAACTGACTGACTGAGTTTGGTTTTACGCCGCTTTTAGCAATATTCCAGCAACATCACGGCGGGGGACACCAGAAATGGGCTTCACACATTTTACCCATGTGGGGATTCGAACCCGGGTCTTCGGCGTGACGAGCCAAAGCTTTAACCACTAGACTACCCCACCGCCCCAACTAGGGAACTTGGAATATCACGATACAGGCGCCTCAAGATACGATGCGTATTTCGATACTGACGTCACGATACGATACGTATCTCGATACTGAGATCACGATAAGATGCGTATCTCGATACTGAGGTCACGTTACGATGCGTATCTCGATAGTGAGGTCACGATACGATGCGTATCGCGTTACTGCATTTCCGATATCCTGCCCGTAACAAGCAGCCATTACATGGATGGAATGTTAATACCATAGCTTATTTTCCGTTACGATTTGCCTCAGCTTCCAAACAGTGGTGGTGGTGGTGGTGGTGGTGGAATTGGGTTTAACGTCGTGCTTGAGAATATTTCGCTCATATGACGACGTGCATGCGTGTGTATGTGTATGTGCGGATGCTTGTACTAGCCCAGACTGAAGCTGGTTTTATAGTGCTAGCTCACTGTGATACCATGCCGCAGTGAAGCATGAATGCCCCACTCAGACACATTATACTGACTCCAAGCCGACCAGTCCTTGATGTACACATTAATGCCGAGCGCCAGGCAGGGACCAACAAGTACCATATTTTCACGTCTTTTGATATGACGCAGTCGGGGATCGAACCCGGGCGGACGCTCTAACCACTACACCACGGAGGCGGTCGCTTCCAAACAGAGAACACTTGCCATATATGTGATGTAAACAATTGAAAACATCGAAAACTGTCGATATTGTCGGTGTTTGCTGAAGTGGTTTTAAGCACAAGTTGTGCGTAGGATATTCGGAAAGTCAGCTCCAAGGGGCATAAGTCTATGGGGTTCTCTTGAAATAATGTTCGGCCGGTAGAGGACGCGCGAGTCGATTTAATGCAACGTTGCATTAATTCATTCGAACTTTATAATTTAATGTTGTAATCTAAATACGTATTTGCTTTTGGAATAAACTATTTGGTAGCTTCCTGAGGGCTGAAAGTTAGTATTTTTGAGAGAAACGCATTATTTTTTTTATTTTATTGAAGTGTGGTGTGATATAGTGCCTTTAAAGCTAGGAAGAATTGATATCAGGATGGCCCGGATTCGTCATACCCCCGACTAGATTATAAACGATTTTAGTAAACGTTTTTACATGATACATTAATGAAACATCAAAATTATGATGGATATATGTCAAAATATGAATGGATAATAAAACAAATGAATCGTGTATCGTATCGTACAAAACTTGCCAGCGATGCACCGGTGCAGGGGTGAATCCTACCATTACTACTTGCAACACTGTCCTGCAGTGTCAGTAGACACTGCCACGTTACAAGTTGTGGATCACTGTTGTTTTCAGCTTCACTGGTCTAGTGGTTGCTGGGCGACATGATGGTTACATAAAGTTCGAAACAAGGTTAAAATTGATAACAATAGGACAACCGTGATGTATCTCTACTGACTAAGAATATATTTGTAACTAATATTTTAGCTGATTAGTGGCAAAAAATGTTTTATTCAATGCAGTGACGCCAATATTGAAATTCGGATTCGAAGTTACTGAACATAATTGTGAAAAGATGTAACGTTTAATTTTCTTTCGTACCGTCGTTTCTGAGATGTAGATGATAGACAACTGACAAGGAACACCGGATAAACAGTGGACACAGTTGACACAAGCTGACACAAGCTGACACAAGCCGACAGTAAGTTCACTAAGATGATATCGGAAAGAAATTCAAAGCAGCAAAACTGGAACGGTTAACTCGAGAACAATTATGAACAGCCTGAATTAATAGTCACGTGCGGCTATACTTTAATATTTATTTTAAAAACATATCAATCAAGTTTATTTCGTAATTCAGGAGACCGCCTCCGTGGTGTAGTGGTTAGAGCGTCCGCCCGGAGAGCGGAAGGTCGCGGGTTCGATCCCCGACCGCGTCATACCAAAAGACGTTAAAATATGGTACTTGTTGGTCTCTGCCTGGCGCTCGGCATTAATGTGTACAACAAGGACTGGTCGGCTTGGAGTCAGTATAATGTGTCTGAGTGAGGTATTCATGCTTCGCTGCGGCATGGTATCTCAGTGGGCTAGCACTATAAAACCAGCTTCAGTCTGGGCTAGTACAAGCAGCCGCACATACACACGCATTCACGTCGTCATATAAGCGAAATATTCTCAAGTACGACGTTAAACCCAATTTCACCTCACCTCGTAATTCAGGACCCATGGCCCATAGTACAGTTTAAGATAAAGTATATTTAGGTAACTTATCCAGAGTGTTACATCTCTGTCAATCTCATTTTGAATAACTTGCATAAATATGAGTGAGTTTAGTTTTACGCTGCTTTTAGCAATATTCCAGCAATACCACGGCGGGGGACACCTGAAATAGGCTTCACACATTTTACCCATGTGGGGAATCGAACCTGGGTCTTCGGCGTGACGAGCGAACGCTTTAACCTCCAGGCTACCCCACCGCCCCCATAAATATAAAGCTATTGTGCGTAGTGCATTAATATTGATAGATTAATATTACATTTTCGAACATAATTTTATCATTATAATATATCTGTTACGAGGTGAGAAAACTATTTCTCAAGTGTGTATATTTCGTCCATTTAAAGTAGGGCTGCAACGATTCACCCAGACCTCGATTCGATCCGATTTTCGATATTGGACCCTCGATTCGATCATTTTCGATTCGATTCTTCATACAAGTAAAAACATCAGATGTTGCTGGAATATTGCTAAAAGCGGCGTAAAAACCAATCTCAGTCAGTCAGATCATTGGGAATGATCATATTTTTGGAAAGAAACACAAGCATATCCACATGGTCACTTGTGAGGCATGCCCTTTGGGTAGTGACTCTCTCGCACTATATCTCGGTAGAACACTACCCGTGAAGATCCGGGTTAGAACTGACCTTCAGTAACTCATGCTTGTTGTAAGAGTTGACTAACGGGATCGGGTGGTCAGGCTCGCTGACTTGGTTGACACATGTCATCGGTTCTCAATTCCGCAGATCGATGCTCATGCTGTTGATCACTGGATTGTGTGGTCAAGACTCAATTATTTACATACCGCCGCAATATAGCTGGAATACTGCTGACCGCTGTGTAAAACTAACTCTATCACTCACTCCAGAACCCTGATCATAATTTGAAACCATCATCTTGAACACTTGAATATAGGCGCTTATCGTGAGCCAGGTAACCACTAATAGCCTTGGTTATCAGGCGCGTAGCAAGCCATCTTTTTTGTAAGCCCGATAGGTTGCAAAGCTTTTTATTTAGATAATATTGAGGGCTTGCCCAACCTTTTCAGCAACAATCACGTGTAAGACCGGGCTTTTTATCATAATGGTAGCTACGCCCCTGGTTATCACCATTTTCCGAGTGTCATTCAGTTTAGATTAGTTTACAACATCGGTAAGTTTCAGCTGTCCACTAGCGCATCCGTTTCAGATTTGGACACCGAGCTGTCAGTGACGTCCACATTATGTTTTATTTTTCTTCGCCAAGTGTGTTGTCGATCCTGTTTTATATTTCACGTCCACAAAACAAATACAGCATGCTGCGGCACTCGGATCTCTCACATTATATTGTTTATTTATCCTCCAGAGGCAGGAGAGTTGAGAAACAATAAAAACAAAGACATATATTGCATACCTTAAATAATGAATATGTAGTAAGATTGCAACATTGATGTTATTTACAACTTGGCAGGAATTCATATCAATGTCATGTGTACATACTTCACGTCAAGGCTTTTGACAGCGGTGCTTGATCGCAGATGGGGAGGTAGAAGTGTCTACACATTGAATGGGTTTATGTCACAGTCCCTTCAACAAAGGACTCCCTCTCTCTGCAGTTCAGTCATTCTCTTCCCACAGAGGTTACTTGTCATATCTTCCTACGAGCCTCTGTTCTAATACGGCCATATTTCCCGGTTCACGTAAAATCCCCTAGCGGCAAAAGATCGCAACACGAATTATCTCCCTTCTTTCTATCCAATCAGAACACGTGTTACATCGACTTAGATTCAACTTGACTAACACAAGCAAATGTGGGGCCACAAATATCCCCCATCTGCCGGGTACTTGTGTTGATGTTACACACAAGACGTTTAATGGCTAGCTTGTCCGTTGTCAACGAGGGCGATGGAGACGCCACTGATCCGCCATAACATGACTGAGTTCTGTCTAGAAGAAACCTTTGCGCATCGCGCAGGGGAAGAAGTTTAGTTTTCTCGAAGCATACGGAAATTACCGAGGCCTTGCGAATGATCACTTTTGAAACAACGTCGCTGATTGCACAACTAAATCTGATTGCCTCCAATCACGAGTCTTGAACGCTCACACCATGAAAGGGCCGTATTAGTACAGAGGTTACGTAGGAAGATATGACAGGAGTAACCTCTGTGGGAAGAGAATGCAGTTCAGTTTGCAGTTTGGTCTGCAGGACAGCAAACACAACACAAGGTCCTGTTCTGACTGATTGTGC